ATAACGTTACATCACATACAACCATACTCTACACACAAAAACACATTCAAGCTCAGAACTACGACTATTCTTTTACATATAAATGTCACATAGTATAATATTCCTTTTATGTTTTTGTATTCTAAAGCCGCTGGCGCTGTATAATAGCCAGAACACAATATAAAGCTGCAACTGCAACACCGTAAAAATATCCCTAAGGTAAGACTACTAGTATAGTATAGCTCTACGTTCGGTTTGAGAAATGTATCGCCAGGTTGCGCAAGTAATGCCTGTCAAATCCACATGGTCTTACCTTTCAATATCTCTTCTTTATGACCACTATGTTTGCTTTATGATGACTCCGGAACTCGCAGTCTCTCAATAAATATCAACTTAAAGCTAGAGCGTATCGTAGAAAGCCAATTTAGCCGGATTGTAAAAGATATTTTATGGCCGCTATTGAAGCGGTAAAGTGCACTTGAGCTCTCAGATAGGATACGAGCTGGTGTTATATGGCTGGTCGTAAGCCCTAAGGATGTATTCAGTGGGTACTTAAGAAGTGATATGTAACGATTAGAGCGCTGTTTATGGGTTATGTAGATAGGTAAAGGGCAAAAGCGCTGTTAACATGTCAGATTCTTGCACAAACAAAACAAAGCCTTAGCTTCAGGCTGGGATTTTACCACCAGAGTGGCAGTAAAATACGTGCTGACGTATGTACAAGCACTATCATGTGGGCTGCTAGAATGGCTGAGTCTTCCTTACTACTGCTATCGACCTGGATTCAGGGACTATAGCGGATAAAATGAGACACGTGTAGGGCTCAGATATCCCCCGAGAACACAGTCAGCCCTCAAGTAAGGAGATTTCATATTGCTGGCCGGGGGCTTTCCGTAGGATCATGACCAAATCAATGTTCGTAAGCTGCTTCTAAGGCTGCATACATTAGAAGAATAGACGTTGACAAAATTGAGGACTATGAAAACGTCTTCCCTAGGAGAGCAAACATTGGAAAAACCGAGGACTATCAAAACGTAAACACAGGACATATCACATATCTTCAATCCTTCCTTCCTTCCTTATTTCCTTCCTATCTTCCTCCCTCTCGCTCCTTTTCGTCCTTCCTTCCTTCTTCCCTCTATCCTCCTTCCCTTCTTTCCTTTTTCCTTCCATCTTTTCTTCTTATCTTACTTTCCTTCTTTCTTTTCTCATTTTTCTTGCCTTCTGCTAATCTTTTTCCAAACTCCATGATCTCCCGTTGCCTCAGGGTCACTCCTGGTGTTGCTGAGGTCACCGACCCCCATTTACTTTCAATTCCCGGCGGCAGAACGTTTTCAGCGGCCGCTATCTCCCACCCGTCTGGTCTCATCTGCAACGATCCGCCTCCTGGGACTTCCGGGCGAGGTGGCAAAAACGATTTCACGGAAAACTGCGTCCGTACATAGAGAACATGACCTTGGTCGGAGCCGGAAGATTAGTTTACTTAAGAGGCTTTTGGTCATTTTTTGGTTGGTAATAGGGGGCCTGGGAATGAAAACTGGCACCAAATATTGCAACTTAAGGTCTCTTAAATATCTTACGCTGTCATTAGTACACGTCTGATAAAACCGCGTCCGTACATAGAGAACATGACCGGAGTCGGAATATTAGTTTAGTAGTAATACGTAAGATGCTTTTGGTCATTTTTGGTAATGAGGGACCTGGGAATGAAAACTGGCACCAAATTTGACTACATGCAACTAAAGGTCTCTTACGATGTCATTAGTACACGTCTGATAAAAACTGCGTCCGTACATAGAGAATATGACTTTGGATGACCTCGGGAAGATTAGTTTACGCAAGAGGCTTTTGGTCATTTTTTTTTGTTGGTAATAGGGGGCCTGGGAATGAAAACTATCACCGAATATTGACTACATGCAACTACAATATTAGTACACGTCTGATAACAACTGCATCCGGACATAGAGAACATGACCTTGGACAGACCCTAGATGACCTTGGGAAGCTTTAGTTTACGTAAGAGGCTTTTGGTCAGTTTTTGTGTTGGTAATAGGGGCTCTGGGAAGGAAAGCTATGTTTGATAAAATGTGGTATAAAGTTTAACTAAAACGCTGCGGCCTGTGGGCAAAGACTTGGCTTACCAACACTGGCACTAGCTATGCCCGTATCAGTGCAGTACTAATGGCAGCTTAAGAGATTAAAGAGACCTTTGGTTGTATGTAGCCAATTTTCGGTGCCAGTTTAGCCGAGAGAGATATTATAAAACGTTGCATAGCTAGCTGTTACATCTACTCCTACTGGAGTCCTAGCTATTTACGTACTCAGTGTAACACATAGTCTAACCTTTAGTCAAAAATGACAAAGTACTGTTCTCACAATCCGAACCATTAAAATCTATGTATATCACTCGCTCATTTACTTGTTCACAAATGCCATCAATCATAACTTATTATCACTCACGAAGAAACTCATTCACAAACTCACTCAAACTCACTACCTCATATGTGTAGATACGATATGTATAATGGACAACTCCTAGCCTACAATGTAGTTTCATGCACTTGTAGTCATACAGTACTGACTTGTTGCTTCCGCCATTTTGTCATATATGTACAATTAGATAAGATGAGGTCCGTGCTCCATGATGAGAAACACCCCATAACATCAACCATATCCTGGCCTCTCAGTACTATCTACTCCGCGAACGGATATGGGGACTCGTAAAACCTGGTCCTAGGTCACAGTGATCAAGCACCAAAGACATTAACGTTTCACATGTCATTTCACAAACACGCATGTGGGACCGATAAAACTGTACATTGTCATAATCTGTTGGAGTGGGCCATAAATTCTCTGGCGCTGTGGCAGGAACTGAGCCATAGATAGCCTCAGCGCCGCACGACTACATGACATATGGACATTGCGGCCTAGGAAAAACACTGTGTTTCCTGTTTCAGTCTTATAAAAATTAGTGTGTGTTGGTATGGATCTTCTCCCTCTCCCTCTCTCTCTCTCTCTCCCTCCCTCCCTCTCTCTCTCTCTCTCTCTCTCTCTCTCAGAACACCAAGAAAACAGTTTCATCACTCAGGTTTCATCAGCGGGTAATATTTGTGTCCCTTGCAGGGGTCTACTGTAAAAGAGGACTAGGGTCGGCAGTTTTTTCTAGGGTCATTCAGGAAACACATTTTTCCTAGGCCTAAGGTAGACCTCGATGGGAAGTTGACGAATACTGCAGACCCGAAGCTTAAGTGGATTTTTGGTTTCTTATCACAATTTGGCCATGAAGTTCAATGCAGTTATCATCTGGTGCCAGAGTGCACACAACTGCGATGTCGCATCGTTGGTTAAAGTCCCTCTGAGGCCAAGACTGTTACGTTATTGATGACCAAGTTCATGTATATTGACGCGTACCTTTGGTCTATCTTTGCCCGGAAAGGAGGAACTATCTTCGCCAGCGTGTCTAATGGTGTGCACAGGTCAACGTTGTCCCATCTCCTGTCTCGAAGGACCGTCTGTTTCCATTATAGTTATCCTGTTTCAAACAGTCAGGAAGATTTTGGAGACCCATGTCTTATTTCTTTCTGCCATGGCTACGATTTCAAGAAGTTGGCATAACGACATTACTGAAATTGATAATGAAATGCACAAGGAAATTGTTACTCAAGCAACTACATGTACGTTTCAAGTAGTGGTCAGTCAGTTTTCAAAATCTATCCAGTTGCTTGAGTAACATTTCCATGTGCATCTCATTACCTGGATGTCTAGTATAACCTTAATCGACGTGATAATTAAAGTATATAGTAACGGTTATTGTTTGATTCAGATGAGACAAACAGCAACATTTGATAACAATGTTTCTTCATTCACATACAACATACCTTGTACAAAGATTTCGACACATCACCAAAACGCTATATGAACCTGTGCTCTGAAAACCTTAAAGAATAGTTTCAGAGAAGGGTTATCATCCTCAAAAACTAACTTTTTCGTGTACTGCAACTGCACTGTGACAAAGAGGGTTTTGAAGATGAAACGATGCCAAGGCTAAAACAATATTCATCAATCTATTCCACAAATATGATGAAAGGTCACATACAAAACCAATGGTCAACCATACATGACCAAACCTAATAAATATAGCTTCCGTAGTGAAAATACATTGTTATATGATAAAGTAGGTGAAGATTGCTAGCGATTTATTGCATAGGTGTAAGAAACACCTCACTGAAGCAATTTCATTCTATAATATCATATATCTGGTACATGGAATGAAGGTTATAGGGTAACGGCCATAAAGCTCTATATCGCTTTCACAATCATGACTTGAGACCGAAATAAATACACAGCTATCAGAATTGTTACGACATCAGTTGGAATGGATAGTGTTATTGGAAATGTGACACAACTTTTTGTGTGATTCTTATCTAAATGTATGTACACGTAGTACAATGAAATAAACTTTATAACCGACACTGTTTTCGACTGTGCATTTACAGTCTTTGTCAAGGAATAAATCAAATGTTTGATGATCTATGACTTCACTTCATGTGAATTACGAACAATTTACTCTATAAAGTCCATGCATCTATTTTAACATAATCTAGACTTTATACTTAGCTTATACTTTATTGTAGTCATTTCTGTGTTGAAAAAAATGACTACAGGTTTGTAAAATATTCTTCATTCTCCACTGATAGGGTCACATCGTGAGAGTGAGCTATAATCCTAACTTGTTTGTTTGTCCACCTGTCTGTTTGTCCGTCTGTCTGCCTGTACATGTATGTCTGTCTGTGAAATAGACGGAAACAACGTTTTTGTGGAGCTTGCGTTTGCTCCATCCGTTTAAAAAACGGTCCCAGAAGTCTGGGTTTCCAAGAAACTGACCAGTAAATTTAAAACCTGCCTGCTCTGACGCGAGTCATTCTATTGGCTTTATTTTGACGCAGGTGACCTGAATCATCATATATGTGCCTCAGGCACATTTCCCATCTTCTGTGTATGGACAAATAGTGACAGGGCACCGGGTGGCTACTATCCTGTTGTGTTTCTTTGTCTGTCTGTCCATGAGGTAGACAGAAAAGAGTTTTTCGGGGGGAGCTTGCGAAGCAGAGAAGCTGTCGTGGTTCATCTTTTACCGCACGTCAGTATCGCTACCAGGTCGTTGCGGAAACGGGTGTCGGCATAGGCGTACAGAAACACGTTGATAGCAGAGTTCAGGAGGCCCATCATGCTGGCCACGTCTTGCGCAACGCTGAACGAAAAGTTGTCATACCTTCCGACATTGTTTGTCCGTACTATCAGGAAGATCACCAACCGAGGGAACCATAAGAGCACAAACGTGGCACTAATGGTGATGAGGACAACTACGGGCTTATTGGTGGACCGAGTGGGCCGTTTACGTGTAGAGTTCGTTTTCAGTACTCGCGCTCTGAGCGAATCTGGTCTCGCTTTTCCTCGCGAGACCATGGGCGAGACTTGACGCGACTCTGTTGTTGTTGTTGCCATGGAGTTGCTGACGGTCGGTGGAGATGTTTCCACGGGTGCAAGCGCCTCCTTGCGATCTCCATCAGAACTGCTGTCTGGATTGTCTGATGAAGATGACCGAGGGCGAGGGTGGATCTCGACGCGTGTGGTAACGCGAGACTTGTCGCGAGAGTTGGTGCCATCGTCCGTGCTTCCCGACTCATCGCCATTTTGTGTACCCTTCTTTTCTATCTCCTTAGCTAGCCTCTTCTGTAGAAAAGGATGCTGAGGGGAATCAGAGGTCTCGGCTCGAGGTGGTACCGAGGTGGACGCACCCGTGGCAGTTACCTCCGACATTCGGCGAACAAGCCCCGGGCCAATTTTTCTCATAGTTCGCAACTTGTAAATAATCATACCATTGAAACCAATGATGACAATATAAGGTATTATGTAGGATAAAATACTCTGTCCCCAGATTAACCCTAGTCGGTACTCAGCGGATAAATTTTCGACATAATAACAGCGGTAGATTGTCCTGTTTCCGTCCTGTACGGTACTGGGAGCCTCTGCGAAAAAGTGTGGAAGGGCGAGCAGGTACGAACACACGTACACCCCGGCTATGGTCAGTTTGGCGGTCCTTGGGTTGCTCACTTTGTGCTTCCAGATGGGGAAGTAGACTCCGATAAACCTGAAGGAGTGATCAAAAAGTTTCCTTAGACATATGTATTGATTTATGTATAGAGATTCACCAAAAGTTGTGAAAGAATTAATATGTATAACAGATGTCTTTTTTTTTAATTTCAAGATGTCCCTGATGGTCCTGAAATGAGACTGTAACGTTTGAACCAATGACAACTTTAAGGATCTCTACTCTTTTGGTTAAATGTGATGGGTTCTTTAACGTTTTGAGGCACAGCTCTCCTCAAACATAGGACACCAGGCTTTACGTCCCACCCGAAAGGACGCCCCTAGGCTGACCCTAGCGATAGCTAGGTACCATTTTCACCTGAATTGACTGAGAAAAACTGGTATATCATACAGAAACTTTTTTGTGTTGGATCTAAAGTTTTAAGTCTATACATGTAACTACCATCACATATTAACTGTCATGAAAGTACAATGTACATGTAGTTATACTACTAAGTATATCATGAAGACTACGTGATTCTCACCTCTCTATAGTGTAGACCACGATGATCCAGATTGAGGCGTTGTGAGCTCCGTAGTCGAACGTGATCAGCCACGAACAGAACCCGCCAAAAGACACCTGCTGGTCCAGGATCACAAAATGGACCACCTGGGACAACAACAACAACAAGCACCAAATCAAGAAACAAGCAAAAAAATGACTCAACATTCAGGACAGATACCACGGACTGTACAAATCCGAGAACCATCCAAAGGTATTACGAAGTTATTATGTCAAATTCGGCTCGGGGTCAGAGCAGACAGGTTTAAATTCACTGGTCAGCTTCTTGCCTGGAAACCCAGACTTCGGGGACCGTTTTCTAAACGGATGGAGCTGATTCAGTGTAGGTAGATGGGCTGGCTGGACGATCCATTTTATCAGCTTCCTTGTGGTGCAGTTGTCCTGAATCATCGTGTATTTACATCAGGCATATTTCCCTTATCCCAGACACTGATACTTTTACAAATGATACACCATGATGCTCGCAAACGATTGATTGATTGAACTTGATACAAAATCCTGAAAATTCTCGAGAGCCTAGACCTTTTGTGTTCCTCTGACTTCCCACCTACCGTTTCTATGAAGGCGATGAAGATGATGACGAGCGAGTCGGCCACAGCCAGGGCGATCAGGTACAGGCCCGGGGTGGTCTTCGCCTCGCTGGGGCGCTGGCGCCGCCGGATCAGGATGTACAGCGTCAGGGCATTTGCTGTGGACATTCAACAGGATATAAGTACATTAGCGTACATCTTTTTAAAGTAAACTAAAGTTAAGAACTGAAGAGCTTCAGCCACACATGGAATACCATCCAGAGAGTAGCCCAGGACAGAGGGAACTGGAAAACCTTTGTTGCTGCCCTACATGCCGGGACTGGCATTAAGACTGTAAGTAAGTAAGTAAGTAAAGATAAGTAAGGTTTATCTGTGTTTACGATCTACGTTTTGGCCGTTTCTCCTACAATCTTCGTCAAGATCGAATGACCAATCACACTTGACCTAACGCACACGTGACAGGGACAAGTGGTCACACGCGCTAGAGCTTAAAGCTTTATGGTTCTCTTATATATGGTCATCACTTCTTATGCGATAAAATATTCAAAAATCGCTCTCAATATTTACGGTCTCACCAGAAGAAGCAGAGCAGGACATAAAGAGGAAGCGATTTGTTTACTTCCGGATGTAGCATGAATAACAAGACGTCACAACGCGAAAAGGGCATATAAAAAACACTACCAACACGTGTGGCCAGGCTGACATAGTTACATTGAAGGGTGTTTATTTTATGTTGTAAAAGAGAGTAACATGTACTTTGTATGGCGAAGCTTCCGAAATGATTGCAAGCCCAGATGGCCCTTTCTCCCGTAAAGTAGGCCACATTCTCTACTGTGCATCCTGTTTCCCTGCGTACTTAATCTTAAACTACTTTAATGAACTCGAAATGCAACCATTTATATAAACACCATCATTATCTAGATAGATATATCTCTTCAGCAGGTCTAAAAGCTTATAAAAGTCATGTATGTGAAGGGGGTATTGACCTAAGGTGGAATTTTAGATCCATTGATATATACCTAGTGACAAACCGTCTGACTCACAGGCTACTGTTTATACTGCCAACAGAAAAGTCAGCAAACATGTGTGACGTGTCTGTGTATCCATAGCAAATTTGCACACTTTATAGGGGGTAATCGTACCAAATAAACCATTACGGAACACGTCAGTCATATCAAAAACGTTGCAACGAGTGGCCATAACAACAATATCAGAACAGAACGTTTAGAATATTTTTAATTGCGTTGTGTTGTCAAAGGTAGCTGTTAAGTACAAACTACATGGAATCCCAGAAGAAACGCACTGTCGACTTTTTACGACATTTTGTCAAATGATAAAGCTGTCAAATATTAATTTCGCCATGGTAACAAAATAATCATCAGTAAAACATCTGACGTAAACCAGATGTAGAGCATGCTTCAGAGTTAAAAGGCTTTTCTGGACAACGTAGAGTACCCTGACTTTTAACTGTAATTATTAATACATTAACGGTGATACAAAGTAACTCCAGATGCCAGGGTCAGTACTAATAAACCATTTATACTCATTAACATTAGATTTTATGCCGAACTGCCTGCTAGATTATATATACAGAGCCATCAGACCACTGCTTCACGACTGGAACATAGCAACCAACAACTGGAAAGGAGACAAGAATTACTCAAAAGTGGAAACTAATGTATGAGCAAACATCATAGAACTCGAAAAAAAGCAGTACTTTTACCGTCATACGTGCGTGCAAAGACTGAAAGCAAGGTTTTAGCGTTAATTTTTGTATCGTATTCAAGGCTTTTGACGACTGAAACAACTTGATCATAGTTTCCAAAAGATATTGCAAAGTTTGGGAGGCACATACCGAAGTGTCTAACTTCTAGTCAAACAATGTGCAAGCTTTAGATTTAACGATCGAACGAAGATCGAAGACCTTTGAACTAGTGATGTTTCTGTAGTTCCCTGCAAATGGGTCTGTTAGTACAACAACGTACAAAGTATAAGTATAATTGTACCAGTTTTTGGAATAACATTTAACATCAAATCGTAACCTTTCTACATACCAATGTAGTATGTGAGTTCTTGGGTTAGTCTTGCATATGTCCTACAAAATTAAACTAGTGGGGTCGTGGGGCGTAGCGGCAGAGTGCTCCACTCGGAACCGAAAGAGGTCCCGGTTTCGAGTCCTGACGATGACATGCCACCGATCTTGTGCCCTTGGGAAAGCCACTTTGCACGACTTTCCCCACTTCGCTCAGTATTGTATTCTCTCCTGTGTTGGTGGTGTCACTAATATAACTTGAAAAAACTTGAGTGTGCCGTCACCACGTCTTGTGATTACATGTTGGAAATAAAAAAGAATGCATTCTTGGGATAGCCTTGCATATGCCCTACAAAATTAAGGTGTTGTTACGGAAAGGCTATCTTAAATCTTTGTAGTTGACTAGGTCTGTCACAGCCTACTTAAAGATCGACTCTATGACATTAAAATCCTACGACGAACTAAGATGATGTGATCGAGTACTTAGGTATATATATATATAAGATGTTGAAGGTTTACCGGGTAAGCCAAAGATGACGACTGCAGGGTAGAACACCTTGACAACCAGGATCAGGATCTCTTCAGGCTCCATACTGTACAACTGGCGGTCCTCTTAGCAGTACAGATCTGTCCGGGGCATTCAAGAGCTGATCGGCAAGAGAGCTAGCCAGGTAGCCTTGCTGAGAACACAATGTGACGATGAAGCCTCAACAACAAAGTTGTACAAGTGGCGGTCTTCTCACAGGAACAGAGTTGTCCGGCCGGCCAAAGAACTATCCAGTTATCTGTATCTGTATCAGTATAGCCGACATAAACGCCCTTCGGCGTAACACACCAGTTAGCCCTGCGAAGAATCTACTGCGTGTCGCTGTAGGCTAGGACAAGTTTCAACAGAGCAGTCTTTTTTTCAATCCAAAGTGTCACAGAAGTGTTGTCACAAAATGCCAGGTCCACACAGACGCGCCACGTCCCTTCGCGGCTGTTCCAGTAAATGTCTGCCTTCAAGTCGAGCTAAAAGCCGTTACTTATACTCCACAGTACGTCAATGACCAATAAAACTATCATAAAAGTTTCCAGACGACATAAAAAATGACTAGCCGAGGGAAAAACGCCAGCCGATCTGAAGGTTATTTCAGAATAACCACCCCCGCCAGAATGTTCATGTAAATATTAGACTTTCACCCCTGCCTGTATAATGAGTTACAAGTAGCGGGTTTGGCGGAGTATTGCGCGCTGTTTTTCTCACGTTGCTGTGGTGTAAATGATGACCTTTGTTTCGTGTGGGTTTTGTTCAAATACCGAACCCACGGCGGTTTATTTGGGTAGCTTATCGTGTTTTGGTTCTCCTGGGCCCCACCCGAGAAATTCGGGATATGTCCAGAAATGGGAATTTTGGTATTCATGAAAAAAGTCATGCTTTTTCTGTTATGTTTATGAAATAGGTTTGACGGAATGTAAAAAATGACGACATGGTCAAATTGGATAGTGTCTTGCTTATTGGACACTG